ATAGAAACATTTTAATGCGTTTGAACTGGTTTGTCAATCTACTTCGTTCTGGGTTGACTCTGTTGTGACTGAGGCATGTCAGAAAGACTGAGTGAACAACCAGTTTTAGGACAGTGACACATTTTGAATGTAACCACAGCACGGCTGATAGTGTGCATTTATGAATAAAAGTAAACAACTTAAGAGTCCAGTTTACCTTTCTGTCAGTCTTTAGTTCACTCTGTGCTGGTATTATCACTCTATGCTGGTATTACTTGACTATGAATCAGAGATGTGCACTACATGTATGTTAGCCAGTTTTGTAATGTGTTAGAGCTGCTAGCATCTATTAGCATAGGCTGCTAATTTTATGTCAGGTAATGTGCCATTGTTTGTTACTAAAAATAGCACGGCATAATTTTCTGTTGTTCCTAGTAAAGAATCAAGTACAGCAACGTATACACACTGTTACAACTCAATTCAGTTTATTTATATAGTGCCAAGAAACAACAGAAGTTGTCTCAGGGCACTGAACAGAAACATTGATATACATAAAAAATTTAATTAGTAACATTATTTATCTAAGGAAGGAAGCCAGCAGATTGTGCTGAGTCTTCATTTCGTCGCAGCCTCCCATCCTGAGCAAGCACAAAGGCAACAGTGGAAAGGAAAAACTCCCTCCTAACAAGAATAAACCTGTGTTGCTATAATGATTGTGCTTTATGTGAATTTCTGTTAATTAGATAATTTGTTAAATGAGTTATGTTAATTTATTACTTATTTTACAACTGTCTTATTTTGTATTGATTTATTGTTATAGACCACACAATAATACACCCATTCATACATGCACGCCTCAATATCCAGTATGTTCACCTGTACAGGTGCAGCAAAAAAATTTAGAATATCAAAAAAAAGTTCGATTTTTTTTTTGTCAGTCATTTCATCAGGTGAAACTCATATTAAATTGATTCATTACACATTGAATGAAATATTTCAAGCCTTTATTTCTTGTAATTTTGTTGATTATGGCTTGCAAATAATGAAAAATCTAAATTCAGTGTCAGAAATTTTGGATATTGTGAAGAGGTTCAATATTGTAAACTCCTGGTGTCTCACCCTAATCAGCTGATAACTCCTAGACATGAGCTACAAATGTCTCATTCCTCAAGTCGAGCCACTCCTGAACCAGAGACAACATGCGAAGTGTCTTACTTGCTTAGGAGACAAAAGAACTGGACTATTGCTCAGTGGTCCAGTGTCTTCTTTTCAGATGAAAGTACATTTTCATGTCATTTGGAAATCAAGGTCCCAGAGGAGGAGGAGTGGGGAGGTCCAGAATCCATGTTGCTTAAAGTCCAGTGTGAAGTTTTCACAGTCTGTGATGGTTTGGTGGCATTCCCTCTGCTGCTGGTGCTGATCCACTGTGTTTTCTGAAGTCCAGTCAGCGCAGCATCTACCAGGACATTTTACAGACTTTATGCTTCCTTCTGCTGACGAGCTTTATGGAGACGCTGATTTAATTTTCCAGCAGAACTTGGCTCCTGCCCACACTGCCAAAGGTACCAAAAGCTGGCTGTGGAATATTATAATTTTCTGAGACACTGACTTTTGGTTTTTCATTATTTGTACATCATAATCATCAAGAAATATCATTAAAAGAAATAAAGGCTTGAAATAGTTTACTCTATGTGTAATGAATCTATGTAATATATAAGTTTTCCTTTCTGAATTGATTGGCAAAAAATGTCATATTATAATTTTTGACATGCACCTATCTACAAGCCATCACAGTAAAATGTGCAACTTCCACTGCAATGGATGGATGAGTAGTGTTGTTAAAGGAAATAAATGTTGGCATCTAATCCCAGTCTCTGATTCTCTGACCGGAATCACTTGTCCACGTCAACCAGTGTTATACTAGGACGGTTCTGCCACAGCAGACCTTAAAAATTCAAATATTTATATTTCTTTAAATAAGTAATTGATATTTGTATTACTTTCCTATTTTAGATGCCTCATCATAGCCATAGCACTTATTTTCCCAAATAACAAAACCCCTGAATGATTCAGCCTACAGTATATTGTCAACAAAACAGCTCTGTCCAAAGTCGAGTTTGCCTTACCCCTCACGTCCTCCTGTCGTCTCTGTCTCCACCCATCCCCCCCACCCCTCCTGTCCAGACCCCAGTCTCCTGACCTAATCTAGATGATTAAATCATTTTTCTTTAGCACAAATATTGTACCCCCCTTCACTACTTTTGTCTGGTTGTTTGGTCGCATACCCTCCCCTATTGATCGTCATGCTGAGGAGATTACCCTAATAGCTGGGATTACTTCCCCCACATGTTGGTTGGCCACATACTCTCTGGGGGAGGAGGGGAGAGCTAGGGATGGTGCATGTTGTGCATGATGTGCAAGTGTATGGAGAGGGAGGGGGGAGGAAGAAACAAAAAATCTGTGCCTATTTGCTCATTGTCAGTGCATGATAAGGGACTATGACTAAAACCACATCTGGATGAGATATACAGTAATGAATTTTTGCAGCCTGTAATTTTTACTCCTACCCAATACTATTAAAAAAATGCTTTTTAAGAGTAGATTTAAAGCCCAGTGCCATAGCTTCATAATGATAAAACAATATGTGGATTAAACATTACGTCAAGTCAACTTTATTTATAGAGCACATTTAAAACAGAAGCTACCAAAGTGCTTTAGAGAAAAACTACATTCAAAGGATTCTAGTAGAGGTTATAAGCTCGTTACTTTGTACTGGAATCAGACGTGGTGTCATATAGATAGATAAATGCTAAAATAAATGCCCACTAATCACCAGTTTCCAGACCTGAACATCATAATTGCACAAAAAGTATGGAAATTTGTGTTTGGTCAAAAATGTATATGTTCTAACAATTCTTCTTAGCAAAACAAATATTATACTTTTAGGAAACCTGTTTATTTTCCCCTAAATGGTAATGTAAGGAAAATGCATGTGTGGGTTGAGCAGCAGAGTTCAGTGGGTTGCACTCATTAAAAGACTTGTCAAATCTTCTCTACCAGAACCAAACAGCTTATTCTGCTAATGCCTCTTGTTCTGAGGTTCTGGTACCCCCGGTGTCTAATTGGTGACTGATTGTGTTGTACCTGTGAGCAACCAGTGGCAATCCCATATCTCCAGTATGAGTCCGAACTTTATCCTCCAAGGTGACAATGAACGCCCCCAGAAAGTATGGTTTAGCAAAGACTATACATCCATCATCCATCCATCATCTTCCGCTTATTCTGAAGTCGGGTCACGAGGGCAGCAGCTTGAGCAGGGAGGCCAAAACATCTCTTTCCACAGCCACCTTGTCCAGCTTTTCTGGGAGGATTCCAAGGTGTTCCCAGGCCAACCGAGAGACATAGTCTCTCCAGCGTGTCCTGGGTCTTCCCCGGGGTCTCCTCCCAGTTGGACATGCCCAAAGCACCTCACTAGGGAGGCACCTAGGAACCATCCTTACCAGATGCCCGAACCACCTCAACTGGCTCCTCTTGATGTGGAGGAGTAGCTGTTCTACCCTGAGTCTCTCCCGGATGACTGAACTTCTCACCCTATCTCTAAGGGAGAGTCTATCAACCCTGCGGAGGAAACTCATTTCAACCGCCTGTATCTGCAATCTCATTCTTTCGATCACTACCCAGAGCTCATGACCATAGGTGAGGGTAGTAACGTAGACCGACCGGTCAACAGAGAGCTTTGCCTTACAGCTCAGCTTCTTCTTCACCACAACGGACAAGTACAGAGTCTGCAATACTGCAGATGCTGCACCGATCCATCTGCCAATCTCACACTCCATTCTTCCCTCACTCATGAACAAAACCCCGAGATACTTGAACTCCTCCACTTGAGGCAGAACCTCACCCTCTAACTGAAAAGAGCAATCCACCCTTTTCCGGTTGAGGACCATATGGCCTCAGATTTGGAGGTGCTGATCCTCATCCCAGCCGACAGTAACAAAGATTATACCTCCAAAATTTGGGAATGGAGAGGGTGGAATGGCCTGCCCATAGTCCTGACCTCAACCCCACTGAACACCTGTGGGATCTGCTTTTTGTTCTAAAAAGTGACCAACACAACAACTTTGGCTGTCTTTTAACAAAATGCTGTTTAAGATTGCAGTGTGTGACCAGTCTGAGGAGGAGGGGTCAGGCTGTTGTGGCTGTATATGGTTCTTCCACATGCTACTGAGGCCCTTGTTTATTAACTGAATAAATTGTTAAATTGCCACTATGTCGTGTTTCTTCAGCCTTCAATCATCCAAACCAAGAAACAACACCAAACTCGAGTCAACAGCAGAATAAATTGTTTGGCATTGACGAAGAAGATTAACGGGCTCTGCATTTTCTGAACAAACGTGGCCCCATTCAAGGGGAAATAAACAGACTTTCAAAAAGTATAAGATTTAATGTAAAGAAGCATTGTTGCTACAAAGAAATAATCAACCAAACACGAATGTCCTTACTTTTTGTGCTATGTTTACATCAATTTACTGGCCCATTCGCATTAGTCCGGATCTCCCAGTGGCTCTGTGACTGGGACGAGCTCAAGTGTTGAGTTTCTAACAAGTTCAAGAGGTAGAAACGAAGATGGTGAAGCCCCGGAGAGTTGAGGAGGCTGGGGGCCATTCAGACAGTCCGAGCACAGAAAAGGAATTCTGTTAATCCGCTGCTGATCCCGTACAATGGCAGCCTTGTTGTCTGTCCTGTTCGCACAAGTTTGAGATAGCTGGTTCGCAGCTGGGCCGGTAATGACGAACTTTAAATTCAATATAAAGACGAGAACGTGCGCGAGCTAACGTGTCAGAAAGCGCGAGCCTCCGCCACTTGAGTGTTAACTGTCATGACCGACGGGATGCTGAAGTTTCGCCGACACAAACTACCAGGAGCTCTCCGTAAAGTGTCCGAGCCGACGACGAGCAGCCCACTTCCTGTCCAAAACACCATCTTTTGGTAGTTAACCGTCGTTTAGCTCCTCTGCTTACCTTCAAGAGGTTGTCGGCGGCAGGTTGCTCCTGAAGGAATCCCATCTCGGATTAAACAATGGCGACAAGCAGGGCGCTATCTTCCAGCGCGGCCGTGTTTTATCTCTGTCTTCCCCGTATAGCGCTTGAAAATAAATAAATCAATTTTAAAAAATATTTAACTTCGACCCTAGCGGTGCACCTGCGCCGCAGTCCCGTCTCCTCCTCTGTGGCGGGAGGCAGCAGTTGTTGTTGGGGACGTGAGTGACGCGAGAGATAACGTTATTAACGTTAATAGAGCGGCGCGAGAGGATATGTGTGTGTGTGTGTGTGTGTGCGCGCGCGCGCCTCTGTCCCGTCCGCTGCGGTTCGCATGAGAGGTGAAGGGCGCGCGCGCGCAGTCACCTTACAGCAGTGGTTCGCAAAGACTGGCTCCGGACACTGTTTTGGGACGTGTAACAAAAGCTGGGAGGCCAAAATAATGGTTAGAAATTAAATTCAGTCTGTTTTATTTATTTGACTGGTTGCTGAAGGTGTATTATAAGAGAAGAACAGCATGTTTGCCACCAGAATTTTTAACTTGTTTTGACAAATAACAAAGTTATAGCTGTTTTGGTCAAACTTTGTGTAACTTTTATTCTGAATCTCGTGGTATTGTTAGATCTTGAGATGTGTAGCTTCCGATGTATGTGTTGAGGATGACACTATAAATAGCTCAATAGCTGTAAACTGACTGAGTCATAGCCATTTTTGTGTTGACTAGAATTAAGTTGACTAAAGGTTTTTGTGCATGGAGTATGGTGTCAATGATGTTCTGCTACTTCCACAGCAGAACACGTGTCAGATTCACAGAGTTATAGACATTTGTTGTCTTTGACAAGCTTGTTTTGCTGTGGCAGCCATCTTCAAGTTCAAGTCATTTATTGTCATTTGCATCACATGTGGTACATGAGGTGGAACGAAATTGTGTACTCAAGGTTACACCCCAAAATAGCACAAATATAAAGTATAAAAGAGACCGTATATAAGGATCTAAGATAAACGCTAAATGAATGCTAAACAGTGTGCTAAAAGATATACGCTAAACACTAGCAATGTAAAATAATACAGTGTATTAAACAGCTGCCCGAACATGAGTCTGTAATGAGTAGATGGGTATGAATGGATACAGCAGCATTAAATAGTCAGCAGCATGAGATCAGCAGCATGGATAATCAGCAGCACAGATAAGTCACCACCAATTAATGTGATATTACAGTGATTTCCTCTTTTTCCCCTTAATGGTTAGGGATTTATGAGTCTAACAGCTTCAGGGTAGAAGCTGTTCCTCAGCACTTAATGCTCCTCAACCTCCTTCCTGAGGGGAGCGGGGCAAAAAAGTGTGTGTGCTGGGTGAGTGGGGTCCTTCATGATGCAGGTGACCCTCTTCCTGGAAGTGCAGATGTCTCTAATGGTGGGGAGGCTGACTCCGACAGACTTCTGTGCAGCCTTCACCACTCTCTGCAGAGCTTTTCTTTCTGCAGCTGTGCAGCCTCCATGAAACACACATCTTGAATGGGGAGGACTCCAAAAGTTAATCAGTCAGAGATGTACTTCTAATGATCTCTTAACAAAAGTTTCATTAAAATCCATCCAGTAGTTTGTGAGCTATTTCGTCAACTCTACAAAAAACAAATACAAACACGAGCAAAAAATATTATCCCTTCCTCATCTTTGGCTGCGAGTAATAAATATGCAGCGAAAATAGGTAAAATTTTAGTTGGAAAACAACATTAAAGCCCCATAATAAAAGCCCTCAACACTGTGAGTAAACAGTTTTAGTTTACAATATCCCACACTTGATCGTGCAGGTTTATACAAATTGTGCAGATGGGAAAATAAGTAAAAATAAATAAATTAAACTATTGCAATTTTTTAAATGGTTTTAAATTTTTATTAAAAAAAAATACATTTAATTCATTCTCTTTATTTCTGCCTTGTAAAAACAATGCTGAGTCATGGAAAATCTGAGTTTTTGAGACACGACTAAAGAGCGTGTGTCATTTAACCACATAGTTCCCTTTGTTGCAAGTAGGCCTTGATGAACTATTATTTTCTTTCAAATAGATTATTACATAGTACAGTACTTCTCAAATGCTTTAAGCTGCTGATTTCTTTATATTTTGCTTTAAAGCTGCCACATTTTCTAGTAGTAGTTCTTGAAAATGGGTAGCCAAAGTCCAAAGAAAAGCTCTGGTGGACTTTCTGAACACCTGAAGAACTCTAGATGACTTCAGTTACAAGAAGGTCTGGTTGAGGCAAAATACAAAGAAATGAGGTCACTAAATTATAGTGTTCTGTAAACTTTATGAGTGCAATAAATTAGAACAAAACAACACTTTAGCCTCATGCCCACCTAAAATATGTGTTAGGTCAATATGTGTGGATGTTTTGCTGATGTTAATAATTTAACATGTACACCTCCTTTATTCCAGCTTGACTGTTTAACTTGATTCCTTTCCTCGCCACCTCCTCATCTCCTGTTCTCTCTCACTTGGCTTGCCAGTGGAGGAGGGGACAGATTATGAAGAGCGGATTAGAGGCGACATGCTTCCATGAGGGTTGTCATTTTATTTTGGCCCGGCTGGATCTTAAATACAGGTGTATTAAATACGCCTATCGGTGGAATCTGTGTAGAACAGTGTGTGTTTATTGTATGTGCTGCTGAAAAGACTCCCACGGGAGATAATGTTTTTCCTCTCTCTTCCATCCATTTTGGGGCTGTGACCCAGACAAAAGAAGGGAGGACCCCTCCACCCCCACCCAATAAATCAATCAGTGGATTCCTCCTTTGTGATAGTGATAATGACTTTTTGTCCAAACTACTGAGACAAGTTCAAGTTTTTTAAGGCAGTGGTTCTCAAGCTGGGGTCCGTGAGCCACTGCTTGGGAGGCCACAAAAAATAATATATATATTTTTAACAAGCACATAGATGTTTAACAACCCATTAAAATGCACCAAAATGCAGTAAATCACATACTGTATTCAAAATTTTCTGGGGAAGGACCTCCAGATCCCCCGTCAGATCAGCCCATCCGCTATTTGCGTTCCGGCATCGATCGGTTTACAGATTAAGTCCTGTTACTTCCTGCTTCTGTTCAGTTTTATGTAGAGTTTTCTATAATAATTTGAAGAAGTGGCAATATATTTATTATGTTCATTATGTGAACAGGTAAAGTGTTTTTTAATTTTCTCAAAACTCTAACTTTTGGATGCTGACATTAAACATTTTGTTAATTAAGTGTCTTGAATGAAAAGTACCCCATGTTAAAGAACAGGTCAAAGTGTTTATGCCACACAAATATTTTCATTGAATTAAAGAGACAGATTGAAGAAAAATATTTTTATAAACATGAGAGTTATGAGGGGGGTCCCTGAACCCAAAAAGTTTGAGGTAATCAGAAAACAGTGTTTAAAATAAATAAATAAACTGATTTTTTATATATATATATATAATATCATTATTGTAATAATGCAAAAATAAAAGAATAAAAGTGTCCCTAACGTCTTTAAAATGGTTTCTTCTGCTATTATTATTTAATTTGATTTGATTACACATAACCAGTCCAGTTGGAAACATCCAGTAAGTAATCAAACGTTAATGGTAAAAATACTGAGAAAATATTATTTCTGTTATAACGTCATGTCATTTGGACATTTGTGTTTATGGGAATGTTTCAGTCACGAACTTCTTGTATCATGGAAGAAAAGGCAGCTCAGCCTGTTTGTTAGCTCAGACATTTAACACTAGATGGCTCAGTCATCATTTAAAGTGTCCTTCTGGGATTTTTACAAACGATGGCGACAAAGTCACATCTTTATTCTGCAGCTGGTCCAACTCTGAGCTCCATTTGTTGAGGTGCTGCAATGTTGGCATCTATTGTTTCATCACTGTAATGGTTAATAACTCAGTTTGTCCTTGTTTATGTAATAAACTGGGTAGTTGGGATCTTTATCATCTGTAGCAGCTACTGTTGCTGTTGTAACTTTACATTTTCCCAGTCAAAAAGAGCACCTTAAAGATAAAAAAAAACTAACTCTCTGCAAAATAATTAATGGCTTTTTTTTTTTGTCATACTTTATTATGGCCATTAATTATTTTAAACTCTCAAACACAACATCAGGTTGTCCAGGTTTTATTATCTATTAAGAAATTACGAACCAGAGGATGCAAATTAGATGGATTAAACAGTAATAGTGGAGAAATCCACAAACTATAAAAACCGAAAAGGAAAAAAAGTGAAATGTTAAATTGAAATAACATCATTTTGTATATTTAACATCTAGATTTTTTTAATTAGTTCATTAATTCTTCTCCCTGTCTACATTTTTTTCTTGCATTAGTGATTTCAGTCTTCGTAGCTTGACTGTCAAAGAAAACTTACTTTTGATGTTGCTGTTGCACCGACTGCCTCCACACTGTCATTTCAACCTTTTTTAAAATGTATATAGTTTCAAATATTTAACTTTGAAAGCATGCAGCTACAGTGTTCACTCTAACGTTTCTGCAGTGCTGAAAACTCAGCGTGTTTTGTCTGGTTTCTTTATGACAACGCCTCATGCCGACCTGCATAAATCAGCTTCTTCACTCTTCCGCCTTTTCTATCCTAATCTCATTTAGTCATTCACCGCTGATGTTCTTTCCACCATCAACAACTTATAATGAGAAGTCATTGCTGCAGCTCAATCTAATCTCCAAGCAATGCCTCTGGTATAAATAGAACACTAAGAAAACATAAAAGCAGTTTATTGGTTTTATTTTATGATATGTTTTTTTTAATGGTCAAAGATAGGAATAAAAATAATCATGCAAGTAAAAGCACAAGACAAATCTGATTATTGAATAAGGTATAAAGTTACAGGTTTTCTGTTTCTGGCCAAAAGCAAACAGCTCACAGAAACACTGGTGACTGAAGAAAATTAAAGTACTTAACTGTCCACTTTCATTTCTTTCTTCTCTTTTTTTTTTATTCAGTTCAGTTCAGTCTTTTTATATAGCACCAAATCACAACAGAAGTCATCTCAGGGCACAACATTTCTTTAAAGAAAAGAATGAGACAAAGATCAAAGTCGATTTTAAGCAGGTGACATATTTTGTTCGGGCTGCTGTTTAATATACTGTATTATTTTACATTATTAGTGTTTAGCGTGTATATTAGATCTTTTAGCGCATCATTTAGCGTTCGTTTAGCGTATATCTTTGTGTATATCTTAGATCCTTATATACTGTTTCTTGTTATATTTAATACTTTTGCTATTTTAGGGTGTGACTGGGGCCTTGAGTACATGATTTCATTCCACCTCATGTACCACATGTGATGTGAAATGACAATAAAGAAACTTGAAACTTGTATCGTTGAATTTTTTAACCTTTGAAAAGTGCAGTGCTTGTTAAAGAACAGTAAAAGAAAATTACACATTTCAGATCATGATGTCTCATTTTACAACATATGTCAGTTCAAGTACCCTCTCTCTTTCTCATACACACACACACACACACACACACATATATATATATATATATATCAGATAGATAGATCCAGCTCATCCTTCTCTTCCATTTGGGCGGTTTCACTCAGCTTCTTCTTCTTCTCTCAGAGGTCTGTGGTTGACGGTGTTCTTCTGGACAGAGATCTCTGAGGTTGTTCCTGAGCTCTGTTGGAGCCACTCTTGCAGTTTGGAGTCATAGCATCGAGGGCTCTGATGACCAGTGGGACTACAGACATCTTGACTCCACAACTTCTCGGTTTCTTCTTTCAGCCTATAGTGTGGGGGAGTGGTGGCACAGAGGTTAGAGAAGATGGGCCTGTGATCGGAAAGTCGCAGGTTCAACTCCTGGCATTGTCAACATCAAAATGTGGGTGGAAAAGGTGAAATACCCACACCTGCCTCCACCCTCATTTGCCCCACCCTGGGCCCCTGAGCAAGGCCCTTAACCCCCACCATCTCAAAACAGGTCTCTCTTGAAAATGGGTTCTTATGACTCAATGAGACTACCTGGATAAATCAAGGGTAAATGAAAAAAATAATGTCTCAATCTTCTTCCGTTCTGAAGTGTTTACATCCCTGCTATCACTTGTACAGTTTTCCATTTCTTGGACATAGTGTGTTGTTTTCTTTTACATGAAAAACACACATGCACATGCTGTATATTCTTTATCCTATTCAATTCACATTTCCTGTTTTTAAAAACTACAAATAATTTTTTTCCTATGCTGCAAAAAGGTCCTTTCTGTACAGTCTCATTCATAATCTTTCTGTTTTCATATTTTCATGTGAATCAGCATCGTTTGATTTACCTGTCACTTTGCTGCTGGTACACCTGAATGTTCAAATTCAAATATACTTTATTAATCCCAAATGGAAATTATTTGTTGCTGTAATTCGTTATCCTCATTTCATTAAGAGATGTTTTAGATGCTGACGGCTGTAAGCAGGAAGGATCTCTTGTAAAGGTCCATCCCACAGTGGATCCTAAGAAACTGGCTGCAGATGCCGTCCGATCCGTCCACCCAGTCTCGGCTGGCCTCTCGGTTCCCCTGGGCTGTAGGACCGCCCGAATGCCGGGCAGAACTCCTCCCAGAGCGATGGCCACTCCTCCCAGCAGTCTGTTGAGCTCCTCGTCGCTGCGGACAGCCAACTGTAGGTGCCGAGGGACGATCCTGTCCTTCCGCTGTCATGACCCGTGTTTTCCTGCTAGTTCCAGGATCTCAGTGGTCAGACACTTGAGCACAGCTGGCAGGTAGATGGGAATGCATCCACAGAACATCCTTTTCGACTCATTTGAGATTTGGGGCTGTAGTTGAGATATTATTTGAGCTTTTGAGATGTTAATCAGCTGCTGTTGGTTGTAGAAAACAGCCTTGTTGCCATGGTTACGCATCATAACAAATGTCCAAAACTAAAAAGTTTCAGTAAAAATCTTTCCAGCTGCACAGCATCTGATACCAGAGGAAACAATCATCCAAAAAAATGTAATTTACATCCAGAAAAAGAGGAATTAAAGTTTCCAAAAGCAAAATCTCAGAATGAAAGTAACAGAGCTGCTCCAACATGCAGCCACCTTGAGCGGCGCAATTCTAGAACAGATGACAGATGAATTATCTCAGTTGTCCCATTTATCCCATTAATAATCCCGCTAAGGGACAATAAATGTTATTTCTATTTTATTCTGGATGTTGCAGTCATTTGGGATTGCTACAATTATGTTGTTATTAACTATAGAGCTCAATTAAAAAGCATCCCAAAGACAAATCAACTTTATTAGTGCATTTGGTGACATGCTATGAATTATGTTTGTAAAGAAAATAACAATGTCTGCACCACTGACAGAAATAAATACACACAAAAAAAAAGAGGAAAAAACCTAAACCTCATAAAACTGACCATATTTTAAACCAGTTTCAAGCACAACAGCTTTTGCTTTTGTTTGGATTTTAATTGTATTTCTAGTAAACTCTTCTTGTGTTCCCGTGGCGTCATCATACTGTAGGCGTTTCTGAATATGCAGAATGGAAAGAACAACTGGGTGGAGCAAGATCTCAGGGTGGAAGACTTCTCGCCTGTTGTTGTTCGAGTCCTGCAGCAGAACTTGTGGCTCCAAAAAAGAAAACCCGGTTGAAAAATAATCACCAGACTTACAGGTGAGATTTGCTTTTATTCACATAGTGAGCTTAAAGTTAGACGAAAATGATTCTGATGTTCTAGTACCAGTCAAATTAATTAGAATAAATAGAAAGTTGAATTAAAAGGGTTTTTAAAAGAAACATTCTTTCACTGACACATTGCCTCTTAAGTTTAGTCTTTTATTAGGTCACTAAACATTGTTTTAATAAATTTATATTCATAAGTTTAATTTATTATAGAGTATATAGAGCATATAAAGTAATTTTATACACTATTGCTTTTATATTTGCAAGCATTTTTCTCACAAATGGCATTTTATTGTTTTTTTTTTAATGCATCAGACAATTAAATATAATTTTCTACTGGGGGAAAAAAGTCTGATAAACGTGAAAATCAAAACGACAAAGAGAAAAGTTCCTTTTTAAATCAAATTTTCATCTAATACCAATCAAATACACAGTATAATGAATATGTTTATTAAAAGATAAGTTTGTTGCATCCTACAAAGTCTAAGAAATCCCATCCCATCATCACCTACTGCTTATTTGCCCCTGTTTTTAGCTGTCTGATGCACGAGTCCAACAGTAACCTTAATGATCACATCTGTTGTGCGACTTTAAACTAAAGAAGCAGATTTCTTCGTCGATTCTCCGTGTTTGTCTGCCTCAAAGGCTGACACTTGAGTGTAAGTCATTTTTCTGACTGCGCTAATCCACTTTCGTGCTCATAAACTGCCGTGTCTAGGAGGTAATAATAATTTCCTCTTCCCTTGCAGGGGCAGATGATTGTCATCTAATAAACACAAAACCAGAGCCGGCATTTTTGATGTCACAAAGAGAAACGTCTCAAGTCAGAGGACACGCTCTAAACACACACAAGCAGGAGAGCTTCGAGGGCAGGAAAATGTCCAAGCCTGATTTTCAGAGGCTTGATTTCTATAAAAGCATCCTGAATGGCTGCAGCTTCAGTTTATTTTGTAACAACTCGCAGCTGATTTTTCACAACACAAGCAACAGCACAGAGTTTTTTGACGATACATCCCCCTGGCTAAGAATCCTCATCTCTGTGGTTTACATTATTGTGGCTACAGCCGGAGTGCTGGGCAACTTGTTAGTCATGTTCCTGCTCTATTCCACCCACACCATCACCACAGGCACCATTAACTTCTTTGTTTTTAACCTGGCCTTGGCTCACCTGCTCTTTTCTTTGGCCTTGCCTTTCTGGGCCGTGGAGGTCATGCTGGACTACAGCTGGCCTTTTGATTTAGCCACATGCAAGGCCGTGTCCTTGCTCACAGGACTGAACGTTTTCGCCAGCTGCTTCTTCCTGACAGCCATGAGCCTGACCCGCTACTGCTACGTCGCAACAGCTCTAAAGCCCAGCGCCTCCCTGTGCAGCAGGTCGTGCACTTTCCCAGTGGCCACAGCTTTCATTTGGGTTGCAGCGCTCATTGCGGCCGCGCCCCGAGCCGTGTTCGCAGACCTCGGCTACGTGGGCAAGGACAACGACACGGCGTGCCTGTTCCGCTTCCCCGATGGTACGGCCTGGCTGGGGATAAACCAGCTCCTGCGGGTGGTGCTGGGATTTCTGCTGCCGTACGCCATCATCATCCTCTCCTACCTGCTTCTGCTGCGCTTCCTCTGCAGGCACAAGCTGACAGGCAGCCGCAATTCTCGACGAAAAACTGATATTTCAAAGTCTGTGGCCGTGGTGGTGCTTTCGTTCTGCGCCTGCTGGTTCCCGTACAACGTCCTTACTCTCTGGAATGCCCTGATCCAGCTTGACGTCGTCGATATCAGCAAGCCCTTCTACGTGGCGCAGACCTACTTCTTCCCTCTGGCCAACTGTTTGGCTTTCACCAGCAGCTGCTTCAACCCGGTCATCTACTGCCTGGTCAGGAAAGAATACCGTGCGGCTCTTCACAATCTGCTTTTCAAACTGAGCATGGCCATCAAATCTAAGGTGCCCTACGCGATAAACTCTGAGGACGGGTCAGGGCAAGCTGGGCAGTTTGCTATTCCCCTCAACAACGTGCACAGCCAGACCTCCCAAAGTGACACAAGGATGTACCAACCGCTATCAACACTTCCAACCGCGACGTCTCCTGTGTAAAGCTCCAACCCATTGTCTAATCTTTTTATGAAACACACACCTGTAAAAACGTATAGGAAGCTTTAAAGCGCGGGTGTCCAAAGTGTGGCCCGAGGGCCATGTGTGGCCCTTGGAGTGAGTTTGTGCGGCCCACAACTGCAGTTTAAGAATGGTGTCATTTTGACCAGGAGGCTTATGAGGTCGGTTCAGACTTTCTGCAAATTAGTTTGTAATCCTTTTTACAGGGATGCAGGATATTGGATTTCTGGCCGATATCCGATATGTTAAAACTTATTTGGCTGATAACCGATACCAATACCGACATTTTCCTCTAGACCTACTTACAGAGACTACATAGCTTTCTCTGCTGTGCAATTACAACACTACATTATTCTATATGGTCTTTGTCAATTTGACCTGCTACCAAATGCATATGTCACAAAGGGGCCTGAAATTGATGTAACACTTCAACTTGGATTATGTTTCATGTCACAGTTATTCACGACATCTATTCTCACTAAAACAATAACACTCGAAAAGTTTGAATTTGTAAATTTTCACTAATCTAAACTCAACAACACGTGTGATGTCATAATATTGCGCTGGGGCTGCGAGCATCCTTGTCACTGAATAGTCATACAAAAACAGTGCCATATATATACAGTGTTTTTTTATATCTGAATTATTTTGATGGAATGGCCGATGTCCGATATTTAACTTTATCGCTAATTTTGGTCGATACCGATAACATGCCGATAATATCGTGCATCCCTACTTTTTAATGACATTTTTAGGTTTAATAGCAACACTGATGAAAAAGATTCTCAAAGTGAAGCAAATTACAAACATCTGGCTGTAATCTTTTTATTTTCACTTCATTGTACAAAGCACCACAAACTTTTACTGATCTCTACCAGAAAGGAGGTTTTTGGATAATGATTCATAAAACTGGGCTAAATGTTGCAGTTGATAAAATAATCAAGAGGGAAACTGGACATTTTAAATGAATATAACGTGGTACCATCTACATACGAGTTGATCAGTTTTATCAAACCTTCTAGGAATCTGTTGTAGCGACTGACAGCTGGACGATTTTCAGAACTTCCATCAGTCTTTTGGGACGTCCATGGTCTAAAAAAAAGGCTGATTGACCCATTTTTAAAAGGACACTTACTCAAATTACGCTTTTGTTGCTGAGAACAAACTAAAATGAACTTTCCGAACACAAGAAAACAACAAACATAGACCCAACAAATCAAATCCTTTTTGATAAAAAATAAGCTTAGCGTTTATGAGGCTTTAAATGTTCTGGATCTACAACAATTTAAAACTCTCCACCTAAATGAATAAACTTTTGTCCTTTCTCCAAAATATTGTTTACGTGGAGAGGTAAATTCACATTTTTGTGGCCCATGAGTCCTTTCATCTGGATAGTTTTGGCCCACGTATGAAAACATTTGGACACCCCTGCTTTAAAGGAATTGCTTAGATTTTTTTGTGGTAGCTGTCCTGCAGTTGAACTCGTTCAAAGCATTATCAGTTTAAAATATCAGGTTGAAATTCTCCTAGGGGAAGCAAATTAATGGCCAACAGCCAGTTTCAAAACACTTCCTTCACCTTTACATTAGAACGTTACTTACCTGAAAGTTTACACTGAAGCGAAGGTAGTCTTCAGTTTGTCACCTCCATGGTCTGAGTGAAATAGATGTTGCAGAACAGAATGAATCAAAGGGGTGACCCGATTGAACATTGGTGGATTTGTACCTGGATTATCGCGCATGAACTTTGGTGTTTTGAACCATTTTGGCATTGCTTCCTTAAAGGAGTTGACGAGGGAGAGGGCAGGCCCCAGAAACCATCTTATCACCAGCAAACTGTTTTTTTTTTCCCCACTGTGGGAGTTGGTGCTTGTGGGACTCCAGTTTGTTGTGGCTCCTCGGACTGAAGAAGTCCTTTGGATGAAGGACTGAAACGTCTCAGCCAAAAACAAAACCATCCAGATGACCTGACTGAACATTTTTGGATTATATTCCTGGATTATTGAGCATGAACTTTGCTGAATCACAAGATGGTTCAGGTCTTTTGAAATGGGGTTCTGTGGAAAGACGTAACTAAATTTAACCTTTTAACCAGGTATACAATCCATAAACGTTCAGTCAGGTCATCTGGACAGTTTCTTTTTTGTGTTGAGATGTTTCGCCCTCCATCAGAAGGGCTTCATCAGTCTGAGGAAGCACCAAACAAAACTGCTTCTCCACCAACAGCCTACTACAAACTGGTGGGAGGGGGGAACTGTTATGTTCGTGCTAAGATGGGTTCTGGGGCACGCCCTCTCCCTCGTCGACAGACACGTCAAACTGGTTCAAAACACCAAAGTTCATGCTCAATAATCCAGGAATATAATCCAAAAATGTTCAGTCAGGTGGTTTATTTTTTTGTGCTGAGACGTTTTGCCCTCCATCCTTCCTCCTTTCCACTTTGGAGTAAGCTGTTGGTGGAGCATCAGTTTCGTTTGGTGTTTTCTCAGACTGACGAAGCCCTTCGGATGGAGGGCGAAACGTCTCAGCACAAAAAGAAACCGTCCAGATGACCTGAGTGAACATTGTTGGAAGGTCATGGTTGGTTTCTAAAGAAAAGGTTTAGAAACCAGCGCTTGCATGAAACAGATTGACATTTTCTAGCTTAGTTTTATTTTAAGATGTACTTTTTATTTGCTCCGCTCTGACTGGTCGTGAGCAAGTCTTACCTGAGAAAACATCTGCCTGATATCAAACTGATTATCGTCGGAGTGATTTCCACAGCAGGGAAGATATTGACTATTAATAATAACTTTACAGGTTTTTCTTTTTAGTTGATTCTCCAAAGAATAATATGTAACCTTGTGAAAGATTAATTGTTATTTGATTTATTGGGATAAACTTGCCTCCTTAAATAATTTTTTTTTTTAAATGTTTGTGGAAAAATTTTGCTCATGTTGAATTTTTTTTACACAAATTTATATTGTGTTTATAAGGAAATTTTAAAATAATTCAGTACTGAATTTTGTGTTTAGAAATATGTTATTAATAAAATTTAAATTTATTGTTCTGTATGTCATGACGCCAGTCTACCACAAGATGGCGGTGATGTTCAGTTCTTAAATTTAACCATAAATTACAAATAAATCCATATTGTTCAAGTAGGGATGGATTATTTATTCCAATATTTAATAATCTAAAACAGTTTGAAATCATTTTTTTATTTTATAAGGGAGGGTAAAACGCATGGTGTAGACTTCTCAGGGACTCGTTCAAAGAAAACTGCAGTCAGGACACATTTTAAGAACCTTTAAAACCACAAAAACGCATTAACTCACTAGTTTTGTCGTTCTTTTGGTTGCTGTTGCTTATAGTTGCACCTCTTTGTAGGTATTTGTACATAGCTTTGTTGTTTCTTTTTTTTAGATGTCAAGGTCGTTTTGAGCTTTTGTAATTTTGCATCTTTCTGTGATCATTTTGTTTCTCATCATAATTCTATCTCTTTGTGACGATTTTGTTTTGGATCTTAAACCTCTTTGTGGACATTATACGTCTGATAATTTTATGTTCCTGTGAGGTCATTTAATTCTGATTTCAGTCATTTTGTGTTTTGGGTGATTTTGCAACAATTTGTTGCGTCTTTTACTTCATGAGCCATTTTTTAGTTTATGGCTGTTGGAGATCATGTAGAAGTTTGTGGTTCATCCTTTTCCATCACTTTGGTGATTTTTTTTTTCTGTTATCAGTGCCTTTTTTGTCCACTTTAAAGCATTCAATGAGGGTTAATTTAGCATTATACTGTATTTGGGGGTTTTGCATTTATGCTTGTTTGGTCCTCTGAGGGCTCATTCAGTAATATTTCTGTGCTTTCGTGACACATTACTATAAGTATGTGCTGGCTACAGCAGATTAGCTAAGTTAGTACTGGTTAGGTGGAATAGTTTTGATTAGCAACAAAGTAAAAATATAATTTTTATTCATGTCTGTCTGCTGGCTTCTTACAGAAAAGTTCAGATCTTATCAAATGGGCTTCTGTGGAAACATCATGAGCAATGAATATCCTATCAGCTCTTTGGGCAAACTAGATTTTTTTTATCATTCAGCCTTTATTTAGACGGGTAAATCCCATCGAGCCTCGAGGACTCATTTACAAGAGAGACCTGAATTTGGAGATTTAATTTTTGGAGATTTGGAGAAATAAAGTTTATATCTGATTAGATTGATGTGCTAACAACTAATCTGAGTGAGGCCAAGCACAAAGCAGATTTACTGAATATAAAAAAGTTTACTAGTGGCTCATGTGAACAATATTTTATTTACGCCACTTTTTTTTTTTTTTTTTACATTTTGCAAGTATTCTGACATAAATACTGTAATATTCCTGCAAGAGGTGCTCCAGGCTGCACTGGAAGTGCAACAGTTAGCTGCAGCTGTCATTATTTACACTTGCAAATAACCACAGAATTTTATTTGTAATGCAACACTGACTTTTCAAATTGGTAGTGAGAGTTGGCCTCATTCGTATTAACTGTTAGCTTGTCAGCCTGGTAAGAATTAAACTCTAAGCTGATGTCACTGAAAAGATTATTGGATACAGGTAAGATATTAACTGTTCATAACCATTTCTACTGAACCCTCTCAAAATAATCTGAGCTTTCTCTTTAAAGTTCCTACTTAATAACCCATGATAGCGTGTTGTAAAACATATTTCTGTCAGTTTTTAACATGATTTTTTTCATAAATGTATCAGTGTAACTGGCTGGAAGTAGAAGTTTAATGGTGTAGATTTTCTTTTGTTGCAGACATAAATAAGTGACTGTAAATTGTGTTGCAGGCATATTACATACAGTATGGCACAATAAATGTTAGTATATTACACACATGCATTCTGAGAGAGTGATTTCTGTTGAGGAAGAGCTTCAGGAGCTGTGAAACCACTTCTTCGTTCTTGTGCAACAATTTGTGGATCTGGTTGTCGTTAATCCTTTGTCACCATGCAGCTCT